GCAAAACGTTTTTGGGCTCAATATTGGTTATCTACGGAGCTCCCTCTTAATTTAGGATTCCGGGGAATAGTGATTCGATGAAAAATTCTTACCACTGCTGACCGTATATATATATATATATATATATATATATATGTACGCCTCCCCACCTCGAACAGTCAAGATAGTGTTTCGAAGTCTTCGGCAGCTCCCTGCACCACTTACGGTAGACGGCGGTCGAATGACTCATCCGACCACAGCCCTCTCTGAGAGGGTTACGGCCCACACATTCTAGAAGTGCTGTCCGCGAGTTCGAAGCGATGGAACAAGTTAAATGGCATTGTTGAAGAAATACTGAAGAGCAATAGTTTATAGCCTTGTGTGCGAATATGATTATAAGCTAATTCCATTCTTGACGTAAACGCCCTTTCAAGAGTCCCTTTCATGAGGTAAATGTGGTAGTGCGGTGAGGCATGATACTACGGCTGTGCGCAAAACCCTGAATCCACCAAGGACTTGCTTTGAAGTTGTCCCCTATGCTTCTCCATTTTGATTTGAAGCGGTATCCAGTGGAAATGACTGGCGTGTAATAGGAATGCCATATAAACTTTATGACAACCTATCCTTCCAATTTATCCACTAATCTCCATAAGTGGGCAGACTATTGTTTTGCACCTGATAGTTGCGACCATATAGGACATCGTAAGTGGTCAACGGTAGACTATTTCGCAAGCCCATGCCCTCTTAATTTCCGTACTCGGCACTCATGTTACTAAACGTGTTTCTCATAGTCAAGGAGACACGGCTTCTTTTGAAACTCGAACTGTAGGAGACTATATACTCTTCTACAAGCGCCATAAAATTGAAGCTCATGGGCCCGATCACAAACTCGAAGGCCTCGTTTCACTTCGGAACCTCTATATCCCTCCGAAGGCATGAGGTTTCTTTTGCGAAGTTACGAGTCCATCGTCGCTGTCATCATCAGGCGACCGCAGAGCATCGTTGTGATCGCCTTTCACGGACTTGACTTCTTCACAAAAGATAACGGGCCTGTTTTGACAGCATCGAGAATTACGTAGAGCTCTTCATTGCCGCCTCTTCATAGGAGGGAGGTGCCCACGTTATGCGGCAAGAACGAAAGTCCTCCACCAAGCATGACGACACCACCTTCGGTCAGAAGATTTGCTGGCAACATGTAGACGAGCGTTCGACCCTATGAATTATTCGGAACCTTTCTCCTTGAGGTCTCTCGGGCCCATTTTGAGCGAGCGTTTCGAATTCCTTTGTTCGAATGTAGCTCCAACCTTATTTGGCAAAAAAACTTTCCTTGCAATACCTTTTCAGTGTTCCTAAATAGTGTTCCTAAATGAAGAAGGATCTCCGCAGATTCCCAATATTAAGCCCAAAAACGTCTTGCAAGCGTTTAGGATGCTTTTCATGGAAAAGCAAAACGAGCACACGCATCAAGGAGTCGAACCTTGATATGATGCCTACCGGTCCAGCGTCCTATCAGCTGCGCCGCCGTTGCACAGTTACCGTTTTGTTCGACTCGGTGATCCGTTCGTTACTGTGGTATTGCACAGGGAGGCATCGGTCCCGTAGCTTTGTTAGAATCGTTTAGCACATTTGGAACACAGATTTGAGGTCAGCGTTCAAAACCACCCACGTGGGTATACATGTCA